GGAATTCTGAGATTAAAGTCAGAATTCTGAGAAAAAAGTCAGAATTCTGAGATTAAAGTTGGAATTCTAAGATTAAAGTCGGAATTCTGAGAAAAAAAGTCAGAATTCTGAGATTAAAGTTGGAATTCTAAAATTGAAGTCGGAATTCTGAGATTAAAGTCAGAATTCTAAAAAAAAAAAAAAAAAGTCAGAATTCTGAGAGAATTCGGACTTTTTTCTCATATACTGAAATACAATCTAAAAATCTTTTAACTTATTTTTTATCTTCCTTATTATTGAATATGTAATTTTTTGTGAAAAAAGAAGAAGTAGCCTATATTGTAATTTACAGCTGGCGTTATTGGAGTCTCACTGTCCTGGGAAGAGGAGAGAGCAGAGCAGAGGACGCAGTATCCTGAAAGAAGCGCTGCTCTCTTCAGACCGCTTCTTGACGGAAAACATGTGAAATCAGAGGGAACGACCCAAGAAGCAGCAGTTTGTTTTAAAGGTTACCCACCCCTCTCCTCCCCATATGTATTCAAGTGGACCCGAGTGGGAGGACACTAACAAATGTTAATGTTGAAATATGAGAAAACGGAACCGGGGCGGGTGAAGGCACATGGGAGAGGACTGGTGGTGAAGCTTATCTGGGCTGCGGAGAGCAGGAAGACCAGAAAATAGAAAAATAAAAAAATGCTTGGATCTCGATTTTTTAAAGAGGGATACATTCACAACTGTGCGCACCTATTATTCAAATGGATCGGTAGACGGAGAGGAATCTATTAAGAGTCCAGTTCCACTTTTTTATTTCTTTATTTTTTTTTTAAATCGGATTAAAGAAGTAAACTTCATCAAGAGGAAGAGACGATATCTAGAAGTTTGAATCGGTTGCTGAAGCCAGAAAAAAATGTTGCGTGTGTTTTGGAGCGCTTTGAGTCTTTTGTGGACCTTGTTGATCTGCAGCGTGTGCAGAAGCTGTGCGCAGGAACGACAGTAAGTATCCTGAGATAAGCGCATAGCCCTGTTCTCATAAGTTTGATTAAATCTGCCAGGTTTTTTTTAAGCGTGTGAGATTTTTTTATTGCAGCTATAGACTTCTGCTGGAGCTTAAAATGTGATTATCTTCCCGGCGTGTTTGTTTTCGTCCTTAATCACTGTTTTGCCCTGTGAGAAGTCAGAGTGATAGTTTGAGATCCTGCACTGCTGATGTTGCGCTGCAACGGGACTCAAAATATGTGCTGTGAGAATGATAAATATAAATAGATTCCTGTGCTTGTCAGTAGCCTCTTAGACCCAGGCACAGTGATGTCCTCAGACAGCTGCTCCAGAGGGTTGTAGTGTTATTAATAAGGGGTTATAAGGAGTCATGACAGGTCAAAGGCGGCTTTGGTTGTCAGGTACCAAATTCTAGAGGAAGTTTGCGCATGAAACAAAAGAAACATTTCTGAGACCTTATCTAAGATGCTCTCTCTTGTATGCTAAACAATAACTAAGCCCCCTAAGGGAGAACAGCTGGGTGAGGAGAACTTGATAAACACCAACCATGTGATTGAAATAAGTACCACCTGATCCATGCTCATCTCAGAGCAAGTTAAAGTCTCCTAAGATCAAACGCATGCAGTCAATTTCCACGCATTATCCCCCTTCTCCTGAGGTCTTTTTTTCCCAGGGATTTTCTCATGGCTTTTGCACTGGGACTTCAGTTGCCTCTGGCTCTAATGCTGCAGTGCTGTAATACCAACCACCTGATCCTTCTTTCATGCATGCAGTTGGGCTTAAGGCTTTACTCAACCATGGACTGTGTAATCTTCACTGATGGTGTTTAATGAAAGAAAAGTTGGAATATGTGTTCTGAAGCTGATCTACATGGTTCAAGATATTTAAACATACAGTTAAGTATTTTCTGCCAAGAGAACGCTGACGTGGGATGAACTCCACTAGATCCCCGAAGGTGTGCCTGGTTATGGCATCAAGATTTTTTCCCCCCAGCTTTTATTGTCATTACATATTTCACAAGTACAGAGCAACAAAAAGAACTCTCTGCATTTAACCCATCCCCTTGGGGAGCAGTGGGCTGCCATTGTGTGGCGCACGGGGAGCAGTGTAGGGTTAAGGGCCTTTGCTCAGGGACCCAGAGTGGCAGTCTGTGGGAGTGGGGCTTGAACTCAGAAGAGAGATTCCTAGCACAATGCCCTAACCACTAGGTCGCCACTCCCCCTTAAACATGTTAGCAGAAGATTGTTTAGTACCTTACCTGTGAATTGGGACAGGACCTCCATGGGATATAACCTATTTTGTTTTGTACAGCACCTCCTATAGAGCTCTTGGTAACCAACTCAACAGCTCAAATCGTTCTTATGTTTCTAAAGCCAGTCCTGAGCCATTGTTGCCTTTTGACAGGGCAGCAATGTTTTACTGAAAGAGACTACAGCCATAAGGGAATACCAGTTCCATGACAAGGCACACATAGTCTACAAGAAGACCCTAAGGATCACACTGTCACCTCTGGCTTCTCTTCTTTTCCTACATCCTGATCATTGCCCTGTGCTTGCTCCAATACTCCATTCATGTGATGTAAAAAAAAAAAAAAACCTCATTAAACAAATCAAACTTCTTTCATTGCTCCTTAATCCAATTCTAATGCTCACATTTCAGTTACTGATTCTTTTGAAAAGGGTTCAACATGAAAACCTTATTTTGCAGGTATGCAGCTCCCTAGGCAATAAACTGCAGCTCATTGTGTGGTCTAACCCAAACTTGCAGGAAAAAAAAAATTCAAAAAACAAGCTAGTTTTCTTCACTACTGGAAGGAAGCAATGGCTAATTTTTGACATTGTTAAATAACCAGAATCAATTTGGTATTTGTCTGTATGATTGCTTTGGCCTGCAACAGACTGGCAACCTGTCCAGGATGTACCCAGCCTTTCAGCCATAGATTTCTGGAGATATGCACCGGCCCCAATGTGACGGTGATGGATAAGCAGGGTGGATGAACGGATGGATGGTGGGTGTATGGATGGATGGATGGATGGATGGATGGATGGATGGATGGATGGATGGGTTGAGGTCTAGATGGATGGGTGTGTGGGTGTATGGATGGTGTGTGGCTGTCTGGATGGATATACTGGATGATGGATGTGTGGATGGTTGGATGGATTGGTGGGTCTATAGATGGGTGGGTTGATGGAGCGTTTGTGGCTGAGTGGATGGATGGATGAATGGGTGTGGGTGGTGGATGGATGGGTGTGTAGATGGATGGATGTGTGGGTGGATGGATGGATGGATAGTTGGGTGGGTGTATGGATGGATGGGTGGGTGGATATATGGATGGGTTTGTTGATCAGTGTATAGATGGGTGGGAAGGAGGGTGAATAGGTGTGTGTGGGGGTGGATGGATAGATGGATGAATGGGTGTGTGGGTGAGTGGGTGGATGTATGGATGGATTGATGGATGGGAGGGTGGATGGGTGTGTTGGTCAGTGTATAGATGGGTGTGGGGGTAGATGGGGTGGTGGTGTGTCCTGGGCTTGCCAGTAAGCTTTGGCAAGCCCTGGACTGTTATCACTTCAGCATGGTTCTTTAAATGTCATTTTTGATAGATGCAGATTCTGCATACCAGAATCACCTCATGAAAGCCAGAGCTTTAGCTACGCTCTCATTCATTTGCTGTGCTCTCATTTAACATTTTCAACTTGCTAAAAACCTTTCTATTATTTACATTTTCTCTTTAAAACACATCAACTTTGAGAATAACATGTTTTTTTTCTGTCTCATATATCCCATCAACTAACAGTGGCCATAATGATGACAGAATCACTGTTATTCTTTTCCCCTGTAATAATTTTGCACAAATATAGGATGCCTTGTTTAAGCCATGTATAAAAACCTCAACATAAATGATTGCTATTGAGGCTCTGTGACCCAAGATGCCACATTAAATTAAGCTATGAGGCCTCAAATTTGTTTTGCTTTCCTTACCATTCCTCTCACTGGGCTGAGCTGTTTTAATTACTGCTTTGAGTTTGTAAGTTTCTGATTTATGAAGAGCGACTCATATCGTCTTTACTTGGACAATACTTTATGTTGCATAGTATTTATACATTAGGGAAACATGTCATGGATTATTGTTTCAAAGACTGATCAATGTATAAAGAGAAGTATAATTTGGAAAAGTGGGGCAGAATTAAGTTAAAAGTTATATTAGTATAATTTTCAATTTCTCTTCTTTCCCTGCAACAAATATGGGTTTTTTCAAATGTTTTTGTAAGAGTAAGATTGAGCTACATCAGTAAAACATTATTTTGTTTTCAGGCTTTTCAAAGTGTGTTACCAGAGGTGCAAACAAATGCGGAGGGAGCTGCTAATACATATTTTACAACTTTGTTTTTAAATGACTTTTAAGGGATTTAAGGACAATATGTAGCTTGATTTGGAGGAAAAACTAAAACTTTGCCTGCCCATTGGTTTCTGGAATCAATTTGTCATATTAGCTGACCTTCAGGAAAAAAAAACAAGCAGCATCTGGCCGTCCAACAGTATTCCTAATTTTGACCCTTTGGTTACGCCATAAATTCCTGGAATTCCCTTTTCTTTTTTAATTTATTCATCATTTGAATATTTCTTCTTGTTTCTTTTTTTTTAAAGATTCCAGGCAAGGATCTTACGTCCAGCAAGTTGAATAACCCACTTTTTCTACTCTTCTTCTGGTTTCACTAAATATCAACAATTTAAACCAAATGTCTCAATTTTGGGGTAAATTGAGCAAAATATTGTCTGCTAGCCATTTTTGTTTAGTTCTTCACTAATTGAAAACACTTTACCCTCAACATTTTCTTGATCGCCACTCATTGCTAAGGCTTTACAAGGCATAATGGAGAGGAAAAATACATGTAAGTTCTATTGTCAGGTCATTGCTACATGATGTTATGATACAGATCATCTTAAGATTTTTTAAACTGATATTTCTTCACGTGTTCTCTAATTTGCTTCAATTTCTTTCAAAAGTAGGGAATATTTAGGTGTGCCAAAGCTTTTATTGATTGTGTTCTGGGGAAATCCAATTTATGTAGGACAGTCCTATACCTGCATTAATCAATTTTATTGATTACATTCGATGGGCTTAGTTTGCAGAATAAGTTTGTTATATCTATGTCCACGTTTATGTTTGTGTAATTAGCCTAAGAATGTAGAACCTAATATCCAAGGCAAGACAGACAGTGAGAAAGTTAAAAACATTAAATAAAAAAAAAAAACAAACAAAAAGTGTACAAACGGAATGCGGAGCTGTGGATCTGCAGCAACAACTGGGGGGAGGCAGGGCACCACCCCTCACAAGCCCTCTAGTTTAGGGGGAGAAAAACAGATAAGTGACCACGGTAATCTGATGGAAGATTATTATCCAGGTGAGTCACTTACCTGGTTTAACAGTTCAGTCCATCCTCACCGAGTGAAGCATGGGTCCCATGAACTGACAGAGCGTTCAGGCAGGTTAAGGGTTCCACAAGTCCAACAGCGAGTTCAGGCAGAAACATTCAGATCCAAGCAGGCATGCTCAGTTGTTGAGAGGCAGAACTGGACATGACATCAGGAAAACTATGGAACTTTAAACTAGCTCCGTCCACCGAGCCAACACAGGAGCAAGGCACAATCAGGAAACAACAAGACAAACACTAACAACCCTCTCTAACAACTGGCTTCCAAGAATGAAAATATGACCCTGGAAATCAGCCATGATCTCCAACTAAAAACTCTGGCCCTCATAGCTGTGCTGAGCCATATAAAAAGCAGCAGGAGCAGGTGGATAAGATGAATGACCATTAGTAACCGGGGAGACTTAGGCAGGTAAGTAAACTGAACAATCAGGTCAGCGATCATGACAGTTTGATACCTACAGGCGGGTTATTTTAATCACAGATTAAATTTTAGAGTGGATGACTTATGTCAGCGTTTAGCTGCATGTGATTCTCGTATTTTCTTCGCTGGTCATTTCTGTTTAAAATTTGGCCCCTGATATAACCCTTGCCTCCTGCTATTATTTCTTTCCATCTGTTCCAATATTCTTTTCTAAATCTTCTTTCTCATCTTTTTTTCTGTCAGGGGTTACCTGGTTACCGCCCCCTCTGTTTTCCGAGCTGGAGTGGAAGAGAGTGTGAGCGTCACCATCTTTAATGCAAAGGCAGAAACCCGCGTCCAGGTGCAGCTGTCGGTGAAAGGACAAACAGTCGCCCACAGCCACAGCTCAGTTTATGGTGAGGACAAAATCTCTAAGATTTAAGGGAAAACCTGTAGATTTTTGTGTGTTGCTGGATCTCATTCTAACAAAAGCAAAATCCCTGTAGGGAAAATCAACCATATGACTGCAGCTCTCATACCTGATGAATACATTACTTAAATGTACAAGTAACACAATGTTAACAAACTCTAGTTGACTTTGAATTTTCTCCACTTCTGCTCCTTTTACAGATAAAGGCACCATCAAATTGAAGGTGAGTACAGCAATGTGTGAGCCAGCTGAACTGTTGCCCTGGTTGTATGCATTCCTAAGGCAGCATGCACATCAACACTTGCATAATTTGTAGCGCAACATCTGTGCCTGCTCATTCATTGACAATAAGGTAACAGCCCCTTTGTAATATGCAACAGCTGTTGACGTATATGTTTGTTCCGCTGCTCTTGAAGGCAGGATTCTATCTACCCCACTGGGACTTCATCTCTGATTCTCATTTGTTTAACAGCCTAACTTTAATCTTTTAACACACCTCAGTGTTCATCTGTTTCCTCTGTTCTTTCAACAGTCAATAAATACATTAAAATAAACAGAAAAACTTTAGATTATATAATGCTTTATATACTTGAGTCAAGGTTTTAGAGATATTTAACTATTTTTTCTTATTTGGATTTGATCTACATGGACTTTACTTTTAAACTTTCGTCTTCACTCCATTAGGTTCCATCTGGGCTGAGAGGGCAGGCTCTTCTGACGGTCTGGGGAAACCGTCAGCTCACAGAGAGAGGCTACATTTTCCATAACTATACCACCATCACCTTGGAGAGCAAGGGTTCAGCCGTCTTCATCCAGACCGACAAACCCATCTACAAACCCAAGCATAAAGGTTCCCTTGTAAAGCCGCTGGTAGTTAATTAGTTAAAATTGCTCAGAAATGTAGAGCACATAAGTGCCCTTTGAGCACTTTGCTTTATTATTTATATACCTTGAAGCTCTTTACAGTTTGCCTTGTTACAATGAAAAACTTTTTTTTTGTCTTTTACTTATGACAGAAAGGTTTCCCACTTTTTGAGGAGGAAACCTGAGTAGGGTGATGCTGATCTGAATTAAGTCCTTTATACTCTGTTACCCTAAATATTATCCAGCTGCTTCCAAGAGACACATAACTAGTAGAATAAGTGCTCCTGGGTGTCATTTAATCTTAGTAAAAATATATTTATATTTAAGCCCTCATAAGTTTTTCAGAGAAAATGTATGACAGAAAAATATCAATAATCTAAGCTATAAACATCTAATGGATTGTTATTCAATTCTTCATTTGAAAATAGAAAGGATGTGGCACAACTACAAACCTTCAAACATTTAGCCATCTACCTGTATGTAAAGTAATTATTAACACAAGCCTTTGATGCAATAATAACCATAATCTCCCCATAATCTAGATTCTATGGAGGAGTGGCAAGAGAAAAACTATTATTGAAATGAATCAAGCTAGTGATAGGAAGTCCTACTTGCATTTTTGAAACAAAAAAAAAAAAGATTGAGTGGTTAGATCAGACTAAAATGTCCCTTCTTGGCTATAGTAAAATAATGCCACATAGAAATATTAATATGCTTCACAGTTAACACAAAATCCCTATGGTGAAGCATGGTAGGGCAACATGATGCTACGGGAAAGGTTTTCATTAGAATTCACACAAAAACTGATCTGAATTTTTGGGCCAGTCTTGGTAGAAAACTTTCTGGTTGCTGCCGAAGAACAAACACTGAAGCTATGTTTCACCCTCTGGCAGGAAAACAAACCTAAACTTAAAGCCAGATCAGCGCAATCCGTGTAGCACTTTCATTCTGCCTTTCAAGCTGAGAAAATTTGAAGAGTTATGAGTACATTTGCTTTGTTTCATAGATTCTGGATCATAGAGAATAAAACTAGAGAGGCATTAATCGTGTTTTCTTGGTGTTAGGATAATTATAATTGATGATGTGAGAGTGTATTACACCTTAATATTAGCTGCCTGTAACATTGTTAAGCATTCCTAGTGAAATGTCACATATTGCTATTTTGGATGGGAAAATGTTTTTACAGTTTTTGTTTTGTTTTCAGTGCTAATTAATGTCTACACTGTGACGCCTGATATGAGACCCATAAATGAAAAGGTAATGGTCTATTTAAGCCTAATCAAATTCAAAACTGCTGACTCTATTAGACTTTTTTTGCCCTTGTAAGTAAAGATGAGAGACATGATTTGGTCTGTGTGCATTGAAATGAACAGTCACCTATTTTCAGAGGTCAAGTAAGAATCATTTTATGTGGAATGTTTGCAGTGGATGCATTATGTACTTTGTGTTACGTTGTTGACACTGAGTTTATTGATGTTTGCGGCTGTGAAAGTGTCTCAGTTACTAGGCAGGACCTACTTCTACAGATAAATAAATGCCAAGTAAAATAAAGCATGGGGATGAGGACGTGGGATACAGCATACCTACTTGCAAATAGCTTGTTTTTTCTTCCATTTTTTAAACACATTTTCAAAGAATGTGTTTTTAATTTCTTTTTCTTTTCTTTTTTTTCAGGTTGAAGCATATATTTTGGTGAGTAGAAAGAGCTACAGGACCACCCAGAGTTGGTAGAGCTGTGCTTAGAAGGGGACAGTGGCAATTTTCAGTTTCCAACTTGATTTAAGATGAAAGAGTTGAAATAGCAGAAGGGAGCTCACCTAGATAACAGGGTGCTCTTTGAAACAGGAAAAGGATAAACAACATGAAAGGAACATTTAGGAACTTCTCTTCTCTTCTGAAAAGTTAGAAACAAGAACACTGGGCCTTTGTTTGGGAAGATATTTGTTTAAAAAATTTTCTAAAAGTTTTTTTTTATCCATCTCTATAGTTGTAGTTTCTCTCAATCTTTCTGTGATAAAATTGTATGACATATGCCACTGCACATTAAATCTTAGACCCACATGTATCTCAACTGACTCTTTCAGGATCCAAGAGGATCTAGGATGATCCAATGGAAGGGTCTTAAATCTCTCTGCTGTGGTAAGCCACACTTCCTGCAAAATAGTAAACCAATAATTTTTGGAAGTTTTGCATATAAGTATTTTTGTGAATATTGTATATAAAACATAAGTTTAACAGAAAGGTTTCTTTAAGTTACTTTAAGTGCAATCAGAGGGAGAAGAAGTATGACAAATATGTTTTACTTCTTCATACCCCTTTTCAGACAATTTACATAAATCAGTGTTAATTCTTTGGCTATATATACTGTCAAGTTTATTTATTGGAAAATTGCGTTTCTATTTATGTAGAAATTAATTTATTTGGAATTTTAATTTAATTTAATGTTAACCAACCTCTTTTTGTGTGGATTTGGTTGTTCGCTTGTTTGAAGTATTTTCTTATTTTATTAATTAATTAATTAATCAATTTATTATTATTTATCAAATTATCTGAAATAAATTCCTTTTCATTCATTCAGTCATTGTTTCCCCCCATTACAGGCATCGTGAACATGAGTTTCCCTCTATCTGACCAGCCTGTGTTTGGAGAGTGGTTGGTCTTTGTGGAAGTGCAGGGCCAAACCTACAACAAGTCATTTGAAGTGCAGAAATATGGTGAGTCTATCCATCTAATAATGCATTCATAGCTACACCCATTCATAAACCCCTGTCTATTCTTTAAAGTCATAAAACAGCTGGTTCTTAATCATACTGATCTTTGGGAAGAGCGAGAGCATGCACCAGCCCACTTCTGCTCATGCACGCTCTGTTTAAAAGTTTCTGTTCTCATTGCTCATACAGGCTTACTGTGTCCGAACGTCCGCCCTTACCCCTAAATCAGGGATCGGCAACCCAAACTGCTCAAAAAGCCATATTGGACCTAAAAAACAAAAAACAAATCTGTCTGAGGCCACAAAAATTTAAAAGTTTTATATAAGCCTCATTTGGCAGCACGGGCTCTAAGTGTATAAGCCCACTTTAAAAAAGGACTACGTGGGCTTAAATATATAATAAGCATTCATGATTGAATTTTATCTGGAGCAAATGTCACATAGTAGCATGAGGTGAGGAAGGAGCAGTGAACGCTCTCACCATGTGAAATTCACCATGCAGTGCTTCACCGCCCTTCACCGCACAGTTTAGGTTTTGTTGCATTGATGAAATTATATAAACACGATAAAGGAATCTTTCTATGGTGGACGTGTTTCTGTTGGAAGGAGTTGAATGAGTCATAAGGAACCAAGCAGAAACTGACATCCATCAGAGCTGTGTTCTCTAACCCGTTATTTTTATTTTGAGGATTGTGGAGGTAAAAAGTGAAAAAAATTTACATCCACCAGAGCGCTACCTGTTTGATCTGTTGACGTTTTTTTTCATGCTTGAAACAAAACTAGCAGCGGTATTGGAGTTTGGAGATGCAATCCATTTCTTAAATCTATCTTTGCTCTCCTCTAATTTATCCAGAAGTTCTACAATCGCAGAACTGGAAATGCCTTTCCAAATTACTATTTTTATTATTTGAAAAATTCTCGTGACAAATCAAAAATGCAGGAAATGCTTCCGCATTGATAATGAAAGTCAATGATTTGGTCTATTCTTCTTGGAATCCCCTGTTCTCATCGGTTATCTTTCTTTTTTTCCCCTTTGGGATCCATGGCCCAAGACACACCCACCGCCTTCTTTGCCTGGCACCACGCCACGCTGACACATGTGTTGCAGGCTTTGACCACTGATCTCTATGGCTATGACGCAAATTTTCGTTTAAATAAATGTTTACATATATTGTTTAAATGTATTTATTATACAAATGTTAACAGCATTGGAAAGCATAATGAATGTCTGTCTGATCTTCTGCGCAAAATAAAGCAAATTAATTTAAATAGGGAGCCGCTAGGGGGGCGCTAAAAAGCCGCATGCCGACCTCTGCCCTAAATCCATCAATAGTGACAGCGGGCCACTGTGACAACAAATCCTAAAATGCTTTGTGAGGACAGCTCTCAACGCAAAGCATTCTGGGATATATCTGCCTCTTCTGAGGCCTTTATTTTCTTCTTATACATTTCATAGACACTTTTTCTATTACGACCCTCTGCGATTCTCAAAGAACCACGGTGAGAAAGATGAGCTTCAACAACTGTCTAGCTCACCACAGATTTATGCCGGAAAGTGCGCATGCGCAGAAAAATAAAGCTAACTGGGGACGAGCATGTAGGACGGCCTCACGTAAATATTTCACCAGAATGACTGACAATTGGGAGGACCACTTATTTAGATGATCCACCCTGAAATAAAAGATTGTTCTCTATACCTTTAAACTCTTTGAAGTTTTTTATTATTATTATTTTGTAGAATAGATGGTGTAGATTTTGTTGTTGCTAAAGGCCTTATTTGCATGCATATTGGCTCTATCAAAGCTAAGAAGCTAAATTTTTTTAAGTTTACATCCTCCTAGCAGACCCTACTGCTAGCACAATGTGAACATGTTTTTTTTTATCACCCCAGCACGGTTCAGTATGTAGAAAATAAATTGCACAAGACAGCAGAAAGGAAATTTTTTTCTTTTTTCTCTCACAGTGATGCCAAAATTTGAACTGGTTATAGTTCCACCTCCTTACATTCGTGATCTCAGCTCATGCGAGCAGGCAAGTGTCACAGCCAGGTATGTTACATTTAGCGTTATTTTATTTGAACCTGATTTAAGTATTCTTAACCAAACTACAATTGTCAATTTATTTTATTTTGCTTTTTATGTGATAGACCAGCAAAGATTGGCCAATCGTTGGTAATTGGAGGAAAAATAGTACTTGACCGTTTGTGTGCATATTTGACAAAATTTTAAAACAGAAACTCAAGGGATATAAATACTTACTGATGCTAACTGTCCATTATTTGGGTTAGTCACAATGATAACACATTGTTTTTATTGCACACTGCAATTCGAGTTACAGTTTCTAGAAGTTTGTTACAGATTAGTGAAGAATAAAAAATGAAAGCCTATGGTACATGTTTGATTCTTGTTTTAGGTATGCATGGTAGGCTTGAGCCAGAAGACCTGAGAGATCTGGGCGGTTGATACACTGACAACATATCTATGACATATTTTGGTGCTAAGCTGTTCTGTGATTTATAGAATAAGAAAATAATTTCAAAGTCCATTCTCTGATATACAGGGATCCATTGTACCAACTTTAGAACTGGGATGATATGCTCCAGTTTCTTAGTCTAACGAAAATAAACCAAATTATTATTTTTTGAGGTCGGATTTAATATTCTAATTTTCAATGCTGTGATGGTAATAATGTAAATTCATCATAACATAACTAAAGATGTTAAAGTTTTCATCTGTTCAGGAATAAAGCTGCTAAAAAATGTTTCAATATTGTTGTATTTTATTGAGTGGATATGTATGACTTGCTCTGATTATGATGGACTAATTCATGTTATATGTTAACCTCTGACATGTCACTTTTAAACAGATACACCTTCGGAAAACCGGTAACAGGAAAGTTGACAGTAAATATGACTGTAAATGGAGTTGGATACTACCGTCATGAGATGGGCCAACCTGTAATTAAAACAATGGAGGTCAGCTTTATGAGCAGCTGTGGAGTGTTTTTCTTATAACAAACAAGATGTAATAATTATTTATAAACAAGTTTTTTTTCATTCCTTATAATTTTTGTTTTATTACAATTTTCTCTCTCTTTCTATATATATATATATATATATATATATATATATA